TAAAAGTTGATTTTGAGGTCACAGGTCGGGTCAAGGTCAGGTCAAACACCTGAAATCGGGCTTTCAGTAGCATGAACTTCAGGACTTCGCAATGGGCGCCTCTCGTCATAAACTCTGTCAAAACGGTGCACAATCCATCATATAAGGCCTACAAGAGTGCCAGCTCCATGTAGGGGTCAGTCAAGCATAGGTCAGGGTCAAGGTCAGGTCAACCGGGTAGGCACATATCCCCGAAAATCAAAACTGATATTCGCAGCCTGTGACACATGTTTTATAGGTAATTTTGGGCGTAGAACACGATGGTGACATTCATTTTATCATATGTGTACGTGTTTGGCTCAAAAAGTTCAATTAAAGAAATGCACGTATCATGGTCGTGAAGTAGTCACGAGAAATTGCCAAGATTCAGTTCAAGATTTTGGAAAATGCGGAACGATAATCAATAATCGAAGATAGCCATCTGATTGTTCATGGTATTGGCAGTCTAATGGCGTTTACCGCATGTCTGTATGTCTATTCTGTGATTTTATATGATTTTTTTAAATATATGCCGTTTTTGGTCGAAAACTCAGAAATCATGACGTCACTAAAACCTCGATATCTCAAAAATTTTCCGACCGATTTTTTTGAAACTTTGTCACAATACACTTCAATCAATTTCCTACAGGTACCCAAAATTTGGCGCGCCTGCGGCGCGCCGTTTTTATGCTATGGCCCGGCGAAAAAAGTGGGGGCGTTTAACACCCCCCCCCAGCAACTCGCGGGTTAAGGGGGGCACTGCCCATTCTTTCCATGCAACACCCATAGGGCTTATGTTACAATGACAAAATCAAGGGGGGCCGGTGCCCCCCCCCCGTTCCCGGTTCCGCCACTTATGTAATGATAAGGTCGTCGTACCGAGCTGGTTGGGTTTATAGCCGTTGGCGGTGGCATGGCGGCACAGTCTGTCTCCTAGGCGCTCATCAAGACGCAGCTCAAAGCAGCACGACGAAGTTGCTAGGCCTCTGCTCAAACCAAACTGATAGTCACATCTCCAGCTAGTAAACACTATTAACAACTCGTTTGCAGACATCGGAGGCTTATGAGATATGAGGATTTGAGACTGAGCTGAGTAGTTTCTTTGATTGCTAAGAATTTTTTAATTGAAATTAGTCGATTATTTCCTGACTAGAATAAACAGTTAACGTTTTTTTTTTTCACCACAAATAAAATGCAAATGTTTGATTTAGCAGTGTATGCTAAGGAAGCGCATTTTCAGTTGTGCAGGAAAATGCTGAAATAAGACCTGAGTCAAAATCATTCGAAGATAAGTCCGACATCGAGTCAGCCTAAAAATGCGTTAAGGACACATGTCATTGATGGCGCTGAAGCTGACTTGCCCGTAACATAAAATCCAGGCCTCAAATTAACACCGGCCAAATTGCTCTACCCCACCGGCAAAATAACCCTGCTAGCGGGGCAACTTAGCCACTTTGCAGACCTTTGTAGAACGACAAAATTCAAGCATAAGTAGTTGCTCTATCATTTTCAGCTTGCTGTTTAAGAAAGTAAAATGAATGCTACACCTGCCAGCCTTGAGAGAGTGCAGAAGTATTGTCGCCAATTTCGAGCTACAGCGGGGGCGCGGGTTAAACAGGGGCGCGGGTTAAATAAGACTGCAATGTCATGTTATTGTTAACCCTCGCCCGCACATCGGGGGAGGAGGAGGTTGCCATCCTCCCCCCCCCCCCCCCCAGGTAGTTTTTCTGCTCTGCACTCAACATTTTTAGAGCTAGAAGCCTGGTTTCGTATAGCTGCTCCTCTATCCTTTCTTGATGTCCACTGAAAAATGTTAAGCTTCTGTGGTTTTTGGTTTCGGAGATATGACCTTGTTCTTCAGGTCATGTCATGACCCAAATGACAAATACCTAATATCTTGCGTTGGCTATGGGTCTTGTCAGCTTTTGACACCTTGATTTCAGCCTTTTTTTGCCAGTCTTACCTTCCACCTATCATGGAACATGTTGTTCGACGATGTACAGATGTCAAGGTCAGGGTCAAGGTCAACCTATGTCATCTAAAATCATTGCGATTTAGGCAAGCTGAATTTACTTTTCGTGAAGTTTCTTTGACTGTATTTTTGGTAAAACCTTCTCATTTCATGATTTCATGTAATATGGACACATAAACAATCGGTGCACACATCAGTACACACACATACACTCACAGACATGCAAACACATATCATTGACCTTGACCTAACTTGACCTGAAATGACCTCAGCAGCAAAAACCTAGTCGGATAGTGTGACAAAGAGGTCCTAGCTGGCTTGGCACCACAAAACAGCATCGTCATCGGTACCTATATGATGAGCAGCGCACTTGATATCCAACGGTGACCCAAAACAGCAACATTTTTTAGTTTGACCTGACTTGGAAGGTTAATGACTGACCTGATAACCCTCGCCGGCACAGGCCATTTTGCGTCCTTCGACGGCACAAGGGGGGGGGGGGTGGTACGACCCCCCTCGCGTTTGGCCCCTGATCGAGCTAGAGCTTCGCAGAAAAAACGAGCGTGTTGCCCGTCACGAGAGGAAGCCGATGATACCCAATCTTAAGGTCCTAGGTCATCGGGTGACCTTCCAGGTCAGGTCAATGACCCGAAAACCGGGAAAATCGTGACCTGTTAGAAAGTCGTAAAGTGTGGCTTCTATGTGGTTTTCCGGGGTGCTGATCACGAATATCGTGTTAGTTTTGATCAGAGATGATGTCTTTAGGCATTTAGACCAGGTCGGGTCAGGTCAGGTCAGGTCAACCGGTAGGGGTTGTGACGGGTATTCGTAATAGGTGTCAACCGCCTCTGACAGCTTCGTAACATGTTACGAAGGCACCAAAACTACTTCGTAAATGTTCAAATGGTTGCTAAATTCGAATTCAGCTCCAAAAACTAGCCTAGAAACATGTAAAACTCAAAAAGTGAAACGAGGTCACCAGAGGTCACCAAAGGTCAATGACCTGACCTGACCTTCAGGTGACCTTGACACCCACCCTAATGTATGGGAGCAACATCAAATCACATGTTGGAACGTTTGAAACCACGAAAAGCTTGCAAACGCGCGGCTAATGCGAGCCGACATACGCCGAATCGCGATTCCGGCCAAACATGGTCTCGGAAAAGAGGTCACAGGTCAAAGGTCATTTGGGTCAGGGTCATAAAATTGAGCAATGCGAGGGTACTGAAAGTTTCGTCGCGATCGGCCGCTTTTTACGCGAGTTATTCGCGAAAAACCTTAGGGGGGTTGCATCAACCCCCCCCCCCCCTGTGCCGGCGAGGGATAAGGTAAAACTGGGTATCATTGAATTTGTCTCTTCCCAAAGAATCTTTTTGGTCTCTACCGCGAAGCTTTATCTCCAACAGGAACGAAATGGCGCGGGAGGATGGCACCCCCCCCCCATGTGCGTTCTAGGATGGGAAAATGGCATGTGCGGGCGAGGATTAAGTATATCCTGTGACAGTGGCGGATCCAGGGGAGAGCAAATAGGGCATTTGCCCCTCCCAAACGGCAAAATTTTAACATTACGCCTATAGACGGTGCATGGAAAGAAACGCTAACTGTTATGGTTTGCCGCTCCCAAAACTCTGAGCTGGATCCGCCAGTGTCCTGTGATTTGCATAACGCAAAAGGAGAGACATGTAGTTTACTTACGGATGGTAATCGTTGGATTATTAGATTGAATGAATTGCTAGATTAGATTGAACGATAACAGTTTTTAGATTTGCAAGAGCGGTGATGTATTCGTTTGGAAAACTTCTGAATAACCGATTGTGACCATGATACGTGGCAAACAAATACTGACTAAAATACTAAAATTGACTGAACAAATTATAGTTAAGTTCCAATGTGGCATGATGAACTACCTGTGTGGCATGGCATCAACTGTTTTTAAGGAATTTCCTACAAAAGAAAGTAACATTTAACCTGTGCTGATTTTAATCAATGATCGAGGAGAACGTCATTTAAAATACCAAAGCTAAAAAAAATTTCATCGAAAGAACGCCGCATAAAATTTTATCATGAAACAGACGCATGGATATGCTAAGATGTCACGTGCAAAGGTCAAGTGTAATCAATAATCAACGCGTTTCAGCCGCGAGTTGGGAGCGCAAAGCGTTTTCCAAGCGGGACGCGTTTTCGACGCGAGTTGTGAGCTGAATTGCAAGTGAAAACACAGCGAACGAAGCGATTTCCGCGCTTGACGCGAGTTCGACGCGATTTGCAAGCGAGTGCTGTGTTCCGGCCTTTAAAGCTGTGTTCCGGCCTTAAGGGGTCTTTATCTTACGTAACATCAGAAACCCATGCCAGGTGCGTCATCACTTAGCGACTATACGACCCATTAATGATCTCCGATGTCGTTATTCCCATTAATCGGGTATGTAAACGGCTCTTAAATGCATCAATTATCGAAAGTGATCATGCGTCACTGCCTGGTCATATCCGTAATTTCGTTTGCATCCTGATTGGTGCCCACGTCAAAATCGCAGAACTGGGGACCTGCAGAGCTGCGCCTGCACAAACTGCGCTGCAGTTCACGACTTCGCTCTAATGCCGGCTATTTTATCAGTTACATATCACAGACTAGTAGGTATGTTTGATTTAGGCAACTTAAAAACATTCAATGCCGTAAGTTCTAATTACTTAGGTGTCCGTCGTGGGACGCTGGTGACCTACTACTTCATGACATCTTTAAAATCCCTTACGAGCCAAAACATCTAACCCCTCTAGCTCCCCGCAGCTCCCCACTATTCCTGTGGGTAGTAAGTAGTAACCACCGCTACCCACATAAGAACACTACTCATCACCTACCGGAGGGGTAGTGCCCACTACTACCCACCCGCTGTGAAGGGTAGTACCCTTTAGTTCCTCCTATTCCCATGAGTCAATGGCAGTGTTCCTTGATCTATTCCACACTGTTATAGTTAATGGACAGTACACACAATACCCCCCACCCGCTACTACCCACCTGTTGCGAGGGGTAGTACTTGACGGCAACCTCGTACACCTCTCTGACGCTCCTCTCCAGCTCCGCGGCGCTCTGCTCTCCCTTGGTCAGCTGCTCTGTCCAGGGAGAGGGCCGCTGCGGTCGGCTACAGTTGAGGTAATACTCCACGGCAGAGTCGGAGATGGACGGAGGAAACTCGTCCCGGAGAGAGTAACGGACGGCGGCGTCCGGCCACACGCAAAAATCGGCTATACCCTGGGGGAGAGGGGGCAGAGAGGTCAGAGGAGGGGGAGAGAGAGAGGGAGAGAGAGAGAGAGAGAGAGGGAGAGGGAGAGGGAGGGAGAGAGAGAGAGAGAGAGAGAGAGAGAGAGAGAGAGAGAGAGAGAGAGGGGGGGGTTATACGGGGAGCAAGTGTTACAGGGGACGTACTCCACACCGCAAACCGAGGCGAGGTCACGGGCCACACACAGAAAGTAAGTAGGTTATGCCCGGAGGGAGAGATAGGTCAGGGTACATACAGGGGTCTGGGGGACGTACTCCATAGCGAATCCCGAGCCGACACGACCGGACCGTATGCAGATATGGGGCATGCCATGAGGGAAGAGGGGAAAGGTCAAAGGGGAGAGAAACCCGAGGCCAGTTCACGCAACACTTCACAACTTCAAGTATCAGTCGAATTAACCAAATCATGTAGAAAACAATTTTCTTTTACAAGTTTAAAATACATTTAGCTCGAATGTTTGAATGGACTGATTGACAGAGCCGGAGCCGACGCTAAGCAGAGCTTGTTGCGTAGACCCCTACATTCTACCGTCCATTTGCGCTAATTCGGGTAACGGGAGAATTCAGATTCCAAAGTCGCTCGTCAAGGAGCCGGACACGGCCTGCCCCACTCAACTAATCTCAATTGGTTGCGGCCGCTCCCACCAACCGCAAACTATCGCCGTCAAGAGCTTCATAATACCTAACCCCGAGCGCCTCGAACCCGGGATCTCACCACCGGGAGTCCAACGCCCTACGAAGCACACCACGCGACCGACTAATTCAGGCTCGCGTTGAAATTAATTTAGGATCAAACCGTGTAAGTGTGTGCATCTTGCTCCATAGAAGACGACGCACCAGCGAAACTCGAGCCCCGGAGACGGATATGCCAGGGACATCTCAGCGTCTTATCACTCTACTCCCACCCACTATTAATTAGCAACATTCAACCGGATCCACACTTCAAAGAACTTCAATCTCCGGCGCGAGTTTGAGAAGACATCTTCATATCGCTCACCGGGGGTCGGGTTCAGCAGTCGGGAGGTTGTTACCGGGGAGTCGTAGCTAAGGAGAAGTGCACGTTAAGACGACACATGTAACTGAAAGACGTCAAGACAAACTCTCAGGTCACAAAGTCAAGAGGCTGAGCGCCAAGTTACTGCAAAGTTTTCCAATTAATAGACGAACACCGGCCGGGTCGCGTGGCCTGCAACGTGACATCTTCCGTTGCAGAGACTCAGTTACCGATTGCCTGAAGTATATTTACATTACAGTCGTGCTAACAGGTTCGCATCCGTCAGTTTAGAGACATGTCAAGTCTTCAAAACGGCCGAAACGTCCAGAGATGCTAATATGCTTGACTTACAAATCACCCATCGCTGAAATGTATGTGCTGACTTTGTGTGGCGTTATTCTCGGTCGTTCGGTACCCGTCTTCACGCTGCAATACGCAGAATTGATGAAACCAGGCATCGAATGTCACGCGGCACGGTACAGCGCTGCTAGCACGGTACATAAGTCGGATGGTGTTTCTAATGGGCACGCACCCCGAGTTCTTAGTGTGTATTTTGGTACTCACTAACGAATCTCAAGTTACACGCACAAGGCAAGAGCCAACTGAAAATAACACTTGAACTAGAGTAGAGCGCTACAGAATGTTTGAACTTCAAATTACGGATTTTTCCCCACACGAAGTTCGGAACAACTACCCAATATAGGTATGTTGCCGAGAAGCCGAATGAAACAGGGTTTGAATGAAAAGCTCCTCTAAAAGGCACGCGACTTTAAATATTAATTGTTTCTAGGTGTAAAAACACCACATCACGCGTAAAAACTATTCCAAGAATGAAAACTCATCGCCTTAAATATCTTTTGGCGAAGAGCTTCTCACGGGAAAATTCCACCACGTTTTAGCCACGTACCTACCAAAAGCCGCACCGCATAAACTCTCCATTGCCTCATCTGTTCCACTTATCAGTGTCGCCACCAGTTCAGCCCGGGGCGGACTCAGTGACGTCATCAAATCTCGCCGTGACGTCACTATACGCCCAGCCGTCCCACTGGGCCCGGCGGCAGCCGTAACCTCTTCCCTCGGCTCCGACTACTCACAGTAATTGGCTCAGAAACACCGCATTCTTCATGTAATCTCCGCAAGTAGAGACTTATATTCGTAAGCTGAGCGCACGTTTCAATTTAAGAGGCCTATCGCACTGGTTACTGAGCCATGCCGACGCACATTGATATAAGAACGTCTTACCGTCCAAGTCACGACCGGGCTAAATTTAGCGCAAACGCGCACACGTGTCAGAGGTCACCACCGCTGAGGGTTATAGGTCATCTCCGCACACGGGCGACGGTAAAAAGACGTGCTTAGTTGACAAGGCGTCTGCTCACAGTCTCAGAGGGGCTCAGTCTAAAGTAGACCAAAAATAGACGACGGCGTGAGGCATAACGCTAACAAGGGGTGTTCGGAGGGAGTTTAATTAGCGGTAAATTGGGTGTTGGAGGATTTCTTACCAGAGTAACGGCGGCGTGCAGAGACGAGAGCAGGAAACAGATGATGACCGCGAACAGCGACATTATGGAGAACCTGGGGACGGGAACAGTGAGTCAGTTGGTGAGACGGTGACATTTTGACGGTGACAGTTTGACGGTGACAGTTTGACGGTGACAGTTTGACGGTGACAGTTTGACGGTGACAGTTCGACATACAATGACAAGGTGTTGAGACTGATTTCTGACGGAGACTTTGAGTAGAGCGATAACTTGCAGGAGCGACAAAAGTTACGGTCGCCAGCAGTAAAAAAAAAAAAAAAAAACTCCGAAACACGTAAGCTTTTGATGGGACATCCGACAACCCACATTTACAACAGTCATTCAGAAAGTCCAGCTCTGAGCTACGACCCACACACGCTCTCAACCCTAAATCCACACTAAAAACACTAAAATACTAATTAACCGAAGCCAAACTCAGGCTCTCAGCCGTTTTGGACTCACGTGATGAGCAGACAGCGCGAGTGTCTGATGACGCCCACCAGCAGGGCCAGGCAGGAGATAGCCAGCAGACAGAGCAGACCCATCGTGGCGGGCCACCTGTCAACAAATAGGGACAGGAGTGTCAGATGACCAGCAGACAGAGCAGGCCCATCGTGGCGGGCCACCTGTCAACAAATAGGGACAGGAGTGTCAGATGACCAGCAGACAGAGCAGGCCCATCGTGGCGGCCACCTGTCAACATATAGGGACAGGAGTGTCAGACAAGGCAGGCCCATCGTGGCGGGCCATATGGAAGATACAGATACCGATACGTCAAATGTCGGCCTCATGTAACAACAGAGCACAGCTGCACTGGAAACACAATCCTGTGATGCCTTAAAACACACATCCAGGTTGAAGGGTCTCACATTAGATCACCTGTCAAAGGAAGTTGCACACATGAACACCATTTAACATCAATCTGTTTATAACACTGTCACGCACAGCCACCTCAGACATTCATAACATCGCACTCAAACTATGACATATCGTCGTCGCCCACACGAAGGATACAAATGACCTGACACTTCTTTACTCAAAATGCTAATCAACCGCAAACCATTCGCACCCAGGCCATCCCACCAACACCCCAACATCTTCCCGCCGCTGCATCCCTCCCTCCCACATCCCACCCATCCCCGTTCCGGCGGGACAATCCCACCAGAGGCGACACCCATCACCGAACCAGGTCAGTCGTCATCGTCGCATCTCGCCCCACACGGGTCTATAACCCCCCGACAGTCATGTGGAGCTCTGAAAGTGCGGTCTGATGGGGTCGCATCATGGCGCTCCAGTTTCTGAAGGGTGACGACAGACAGCACGGCTGGGTCAGTGACCTCAATGAGGTGGGGGGGGGGGATGGATTGTGGATTCATGTCACGTCTGAGGATGGATGGATTCGTATTTATTAATGTGGATGGCAGCTACTGCAGCGGTATCTCCATGTGACAAAACATCTAGACCATGAGCATCAAAGAACTCGGTGGATTTTGAGTTTTGCAGCTAAAACTTAGTCTCAAGAAGCTAACAGTATTATTAATGGATCGCACACAAATTAGTGCTACAGCTCAGATGCTGAATACTGATCTTCAGACATTTACCCGGGAAAACGTCCGAGAAAAGACTAACGTGTAACTTAAGCTCAACATTAACGTGAATCCCAGCACATGCTGACGCAAATCCGATCGTGTAACATACCCACAAACGTCAGAGCAACTAATGGACGAAGAGGGATATTCACGCATTCTGTAAAACTCGTCATTAATTTTATCATATCCTGCAGTTGGCAGATCACCCGTCATCATATTTTACCCTACTCAATTAGAATATCCTATAGCGCACACTTTCCCGAACGCCTAGCAGCCCGAATCTGCCTATCTTTCTAGTTGAGGTTTATTTGCCATTGGGTCTACAGTGCAGGGATATTTCTATCTTGCACTCTTCTGAGATGCAGAGATAAGAAATTGTTATCTCTGCATCCCTCTGAGATGCAAAGATAAGGTCTCGAGGGTTCATTGCGAAAAATCAAGAGTTCAAGTGATGATGGGTCAATAACCGAACAACATTTTTAATTGTTGTTTATTGATGAAACTTATGAAATATGAACAAACTACTCTGGATCTATTTTTGCATAGATGAATACATTTAAATATAATATTTTATTAATCAAGAATAAACCTCAACATAGAAAGATATAGGATTCCTCATGGCTCACTCGTGGAAGATAGGATATCTTTTCCTCGCGTGTTACAGAAAAACCTCGCTCCTTCGTCGCTCGGTTTTTCAGTAACCCGCTTGGAAAAGATATCCTTATCTTCCACTCGGAGCCATGAAGAATCCTCTATATCCCCTGAGTTATTACGCGGTTCATAACTAACGCGCACAGCTCCGGTAAATACCAGCTGACTATATGGCCCATTGACGTGCGTTGCTGGGTATTCAGTGACCACACTGGGCTTATTACCGTAACGTCACTGGTATTGATTCTTACGGCTAATGAACGGGAATCATCTGTTTTTGTCCCAGCGTTGATATGTTTCTTCTTACGTCAAAGACGCAAACGAGTATCAAATAGACACCAGAACCTTTCCTTATCGTGAACATGATGTAAATTCATTATTCCCTGTCGACGTCAGATGGTTGATAATAATAAATGCTATCAGAAACGGGGAAATGTGATCCACAGATTAGGGATAATCTTCGTGCGAAATGTGGAAATGAGCTGATATAACTAACTTTAATGCATCGTTCCTGACGTTATCCCGTTCAAAGAAAACAAAGTTACGTCTTGAAGAAGACGTACAATATCCTCTGAGGGTTCAAACACCTCTAATTAAGTCTACAGGGTGATTTTTTTACAGGGCAAAAAGTTTTTAAGCCTAGAGATACCAAAACATATAACAAACGCGAAAATAGTATATCTACGTAAAAGGAAATTGCTTATCATTTTGTTTTTAAGACCTTTTAGAGACTTCTTGGGACTCATTCTGTTGTGAAGTTCCGTGAAAATGGCGCACAACAATATGTTTTCCCCAAAATCGCCAATTACTCCAGGCTTGCGTGCATTAAAACTGTGCTCACTTCGAGCACGTTCTGTAAGCCTAAACGGAGCTCAAACTCAAAGTTCTTGTGTGCAAATGAAATGTCAGAATGTGCTTATTACAAAGATTTACATTTGCTGTCAGTTGATGTGTTTTCTGGTACCGCCATTGCTCTTTACTTTTTGCCCTGTATAAAAAATCACCCTGTAGATTCCCTTTCATGCCAGCATTACATCACTAATCGTGTTTGCTCTAAGTTGGCTACAAAGAACCCTGACGACACATCTTCAATGGGACAATAGGTCCGGAAACTTGACAGGTTAAAGACAATTCATATATTTATTCGCATCAGGTATATCACAAAACAACGAACCCTAGCGAAACTTTGACCCAGGTTCTTTCATCCCCCAATGCACAAAAGGTCTTGGCAGAGATACAGCGAATCGATCTCTTTTTTTTCATAGCACTTATTGTATTGGATCACATCCATCACACACTTGTCACACCAGGGGACACAGCACTGACCTCTCGACCCGCCAGTCTTCTCCGCACGGGTCACATGAAACCACGTGCGGTATAAACACCAGTGAACTCGCCACACGGTGACAAAAGCACTGACACACGTCAAAATCACCTGCGACCGTCGCAGCACTAGTAACAAGGCGAATCGATCTCGCTACCTCCGATTCCCCGATCGCGTCTGTCATTGCATCATAGCTTCAGTCGATAGATTACCTATGGGCGCGTGAGCTATCACGTCAGGGGCTCCTCACGGAACAGCACCCCTCATATGACCTCTCAGCGCCCCGGCTCTGCCCTCGGTCATCTCCCCCCTCTGCCGCTGTCCTCAGGGCGTAACCTGTCCCCGGCTCTGACCAAAGAGGTAAGCTGCAACCACAGATCTACCCAATGGTCAGCCTTCCCTATGTCACACTTTACATTCACTTGTTAACTGCTGTTCACAGTTGAGCCCGGAAAGGAGCCGACAGAAGAGTGAAAAAAGGCGAAATGGGAGAGAACAGCAGATGCGGATGAGAGAAAGTGAGATAGGAAAAGACTACGGAGAATTAATGAAAAGATGGATATAGAATAGAAGAGAAAATGATGGGAATGATGAGAAAATGATGAGAAGAAAAAGTGAAGAAGGTTGGAGGGGTAATGAGAGACATACTCCCCACTCTAAGCAGCTCAACATCGCAGTAGACATTTCCCCGAATATTCCAGAGTCGACTCGGGCCGACCCCTGACATCTGTGACGTCATACAGCACGACCTATGACGTCACGGCGCGTGCCCGAGTTCAGCGGCGTCATACCCCGAGAGCGCTGCTCATATCCCCCGGTCTCGCAGTGGAACATTAGTGTGACAATTGTCGGAGAGACCACACCAAAACGACCGCTGGAAAACACTGCGGCAAAGTCTGACGCAATGTCACATAAGCTGACGCACTCGTCACTTTAGTTGACGCACCGTAGGTCACTCCTACGACGCAGCTCTCTGCGACACGTGCCTGGGACGTCGAAAGTGGTCATCGCCGAGCCCGAGTCACGTTTCGCCCCTCGGGAAAAGTCGTGACCGAGGCGGAAATTCGTGGCTAGTGCCCGCGGCGGCGGACGGAAGCGTTTCGGAAGTACGGCGAATATAATTCAGACCGGAATACAGAATGGAATACGGCCCATGTATTCCCGACTAGATGTGGGTGTGGATGGATGAATACAGTGCCGGGGTAGATCGATCACAAGCGTCATTTCGATACGGAAGTTACCGGTTCACGGTTTATAAGGCATGCCCGGGGTTATGGATTTCTGGTGGAGCGAGGCAGCTTTTTGATTTTAGGCGAGGTGGATTGGAGGTGGGATGAAATATTGAGTCATTAGTCAAGTTACGCATGACTAGCTCTATCTTGCCAAGACCGATGGAGTCAAGACGACAAGGATTGCAACACGAGCAGGATAATGGAGCTCGTGCCTATAGCAAACTAACGAAATACTCAGATGAAGTGAGCGGAGCAAACTCACGAAATCACTGAAGTGGAACGACAAAGTTCGTATTGACAGGCTGACAAAACTACGCAAGAGCTCGGTCCGCTGGCTTTCAGCCATGAAGAGCCCGCAGTTCTTTTGTTTGGTTTGGGTAAATGTCACATGAAACAGTTAGAGGGCGGTCAGTTTCGAATTCCGAGTATGCCATTGATCTTTACACAATCGCCAGCGTTCACAGAGGCGTAAAAATGCGACACTTTGATGTCCGCTTTTTACCAAATCGACGTCGTTTGGAGCGGCGTAAAATGAGATACTTTGACGTCAAATGCTTCCAGGGCTATGCGTAGGTGGATGTACAACTTAGATGCGATAAAAGCGCATTGCAACACAAGGAAAGTACAAAACTACAAAATTCACTACCGTTGTACAAAAATACAAGAGCAAAGCCTTCAAAGACAAACAATTTTAGAGAATCCTGAACACCCGAAATGAGTAGGAAAAATACCGCCACTTCAAAGAAACAACTCGTTTAACTGCCCGCTTCAAGAGCAATCAAATATAAATTCATTTCCGCCATAAGAGGTTGAACGTCTCTCATTTCCAACATAAAACCTCGCCTCGGCAACAGGCCTATCTCTCCCGATCAGTAACCGGCCTACATCATACACCCCACACGGACAGAATATATTCCTCCTGTTGCCAACCGTTCAGTGATGGTCAACAAGACGTGAGCAGCAAACACGACTGAATGTCGGGTAATATTGGCAATAAGCCTTTGACCGCTATTACTCTGTGATATTTGACGAAAGATCAACAAAATCTCCTATCTGGCAATACAGATTGCACATTTCCGCCAGGATCAACGACTCACACTTGAAGGGATTGTGCGCGTAGTGCCAAACCAAACAGTCATACCGAACGTAACTGTCTGACATACGTGAGGAACCATCGCACCCTTGCCTATCGCGTCATTACCTAGCCTTAGCTACTCAGTGCTACTATGATAGACCCACCAAGGTGACCAACAAACCTGTTGAGACTTCGTAAGCGTAACTGTCGTAAACGCCTGTCTATGACTTCGCTGCTATGGACGCTGTGGGTGCCATACTGGACTATAAGCATGTTTTTCAATATAGGCACACAACAAAATAAAAACGACCACGGTCAGGTCCCTGAACACGTGACTTGCAGGTCATCGTTCGGAAGTGCGTCACAGATAGGATATAACACGGGGTCAACCCGTCAGCACCGGAGTCGGCGCCCTTCAATTAGCTCCATTGAAGTCGCGATCAAAGGCTTCTGCCAGGGTTAAGGTCAGCAGCAATGTTGGAACGAGGGCGCGGGTCAGCCAGGACGGGGAGGGGGGGGGGGGTCAGCGTTCTCATAATTGGTGTCAGCGACCGTGTCAAACACAGTGTCGGAACTGGTGTCAGAAGCAACGCCATAAATGATAAGGGCAGTGTCGATACTAAAGACAATGCCTGCCACTAAAAGACATATTGTCACAACATTGTTACTGACACCACAATGTCACATCAAATGACACGCCAAACACCAAATGACGCCACATTGTCATTGTTTTCGTGTTTTCGTTTCCGCTAGTGCCGATATGTGTTTATTGGCAATGGTGGGCCAATCTTAGAATCAACAGTCCTGGCAGTTGCTGAGCGTATAGGAAGGCCTTAAATTAATTATTGTTCATTTGTTTTAAACTAAGACTAAAGCTAATGTTTAAAAATAAACATTAGCTTTAGTCTTAGTTTAAAACAAATGAACAATAATTAATTTAAGGCCTTCCTATACGCTCAGCAACACTTGTCAATTTATATACTTAGTCCTGGCAGTGTCTTTAACGATATCGGTGTCAAAGATGTTATGATCACAAGTGTTTCCATCACTCACCAACCATTTGAAAGCATCGAAGAATCGGACACCGAGTTAGCGTGTCATTCAGGAGTGTTAGTGTCAGTCTCCGCACAGGTGACAGTGTCAAACTTGGTGTCAATCTCGGTGTCAGTACAAGCGTCAATGTCACTCGTCAACCGACATCCATCTGACAATCTAGAAAAGCCAGTATGTCAGTGTCTGTTAGTTTGTTTGTTTTGTTTGGAGTAAGCCCTTTCGGCCTGGTAAGACCATTGCAGCGCTATGGGATGCTAGGATAGGGTGTAGACACTGGGCTGTGCTGGACACCGACGGAGAGCCGCGGAGGTGAGACCGTCCCGGTGGGACCGGATTGCCCCGTCGGGACAGTCCGCCCGCCTCCCTAACGGTCATCCCGGAGAAGATTTACACAGGTCCCGGTGTGGAACCGACCTCCTCCACCGGTTGTCACGCGGGGTGACCGCCAGCCCGCAAAGGAAGAATGAAGCGGGATGTGGATGCGTTTGTCCTGAGGATGGCGTTTTTCTTTTGTTGGGTCAGGTCCTTTCGGTCTGACAAGACCATTTCTGAGCCGGAAGGATGATAGGAATTAGGAAGAGACATTGGTCTGGGCGAGCACCCAGGTGAGTCGCCGGGGCTGAGCCCGTCCGAATGGACAGGCCGACCAGCCCCCCCCCCCCAAGCACTCACTGCACCACTGCTACCGGTGTGCTCACCTGGGAGCAATGGTGCCGCTCCCAAAGAGCTGCCCGCATGAGATAAAGTTGCCTGTCCAGCCCGGCGCAGGGGAAAGAGGCGTGGAGGAGAAGGATTTGAACATCCTGAGGATGGAAACGACGGACGGGTGTCCCGGTGTCATCATATCCCCCGTCACCCACCTGATAGTCTCGGAGAGCCTGACGTAGACGGGCAGCGCGTCCTGCTGAACGTCCTTCAGTTTGACGGCCAGCAGGCGGGCGGAGGTCAGGCTGGTCGACACGTTACCGTCCAGCACTGTCATCTGGCGGACAAAACGGGAACTTTTAGTACCGACAGCGGACGCCAGGCTGGTCGACACGTTACCGTCCAGCACTGTCATCTGGCGGACAAAACGGGAACTTGTAGTACCGACAGCGGACGCCAGACTGTCCGGGAGAGGACCTCAACATCGAAGCACAATCAGGATGCCCTGCTCATACCTTTTATCATCTCGAGGTCTATGTAGAACTTAAACTGTCTGGCATACAGCCTCATTTAGCTCTACCCCAAAATGGTAATCAACTGATCATGGAGCCGATCAGTACTCGCTGGCCCAGCTACCGTGTTTGTCCAGCAGAGATATACCACATTATTAGGTCTGATACAGCTGCTTCTATCATCCCTCCGGTAACCAATGCAGTTCACCTCCTGCTTTGTTGTGTAAATCCAGCCATCTCTCTACTATTTTTCTCACCCCTTCTATTTCTCATTTCCCGATCCTCCTTTTCCTTTCTTTGTGTATCCTCGCATTACTTGCTTACCCATTCGCCTGCACTTCCCCCTAATTACCTGTTTGTCGAGCCAGCCGTAGATGGAGGCGTTGTTGGGCCTCGCTCCCGACTGGAACAGCTTCTGGAGCTGCTGGGAGCTGCGGCCCACGCCGCGCAGCAGTGTGGTCTCCACCACTGACGTCTGTGGACAGAGAATAGATACTTTAGACAGACTCTAGAGATGGGCGGGGACTAGGGCCTAGGGGTCTTGCGAAGAAGAAGAAAAATGCCTAGGAAAGATAAGAGTCGAACAAGGGGACATGGAACGAGGGCCTTGTGAAAGAGCCGGCATTTTTAAGTTACGGTATAAGATGATAGCAATGAATGGCAATGCAACAGTTTATGAAAACACAGAATAAAAATGAAAATACAACCATTAAAACCCTAAATAAACCGCGAAACATAGACACAGCGTCAGTAACAGCTGATGTCCTCCGAAAGTCCTCCGTTCCTGATAGTTACAGCCGACTCCCTGACAACACAGTTGACTATGTACTCCCCATTCTCACCTCATTTCGTACACCATCGAACGTATCGGCGATATTCTGTGTGGCGTCCACAAACTCGGTGGCGCCCTCGTGCAGCGTGTGGTTGCCATAGAAACCGCCGGCGATCACCAAACTGCGGAAAGTGGCCGGGGAGATGGTCAGGGTATGTGAGGGATTATAGAATTACCAGCGCCGACTTCGCGGCATATAATGAATGCCGGTGAAATCGGTATTACCGGTTCGTGACCAACGGTTCTGGTGCATTTACTCTGGTACAAATCTCCAATGCCGAGCGTAAGAATCCAGCCACCTTCACAGTCTCCCAAAATGCATGAGCATCAATTAAACAAAAAAAAAAACACGACAATCTCCGAAGATGCACTCTTCGAAAAAAGTAATCAACTCCACTCCATTCTACGGAGCGGAGAGTCCGCACCGCACATAGCGGCCACTATCAACCCCTAGTTCCCCATCCCGCCGTCAGATGTCAGCACTGACCAGGTGAGCACTGCCGTGAAGCCCAGCGTCCACTTGAGTCCGACAAACGAGTGTCTCTGTTTGTGTTTTCCACAGCAGCAGCGGGTCAGGAGGTACACGAGCAGCAACAGCAGCGTGAGCACCAACCACAGCGAAGGAACGGCGCCCACCACCAGCAGCGACTGCAAAAATAGAACACGATACAATACCGTCAGAGCCGGCAATAATCGATACATCTGGCATCGATAATTCACTGATAATGTGGAAAGCAGAGTTGTGTTTTTAAAACAGCCTGATAATGAAAAGGGTGCATGTTTCCTTGGAGTTTCAAACAAGCATAGCCACGTTTTAACGCAGTTCAACGCGCTCTAGTTACGGATGCTGTCATTTTGAGATAAGACACAGAGTCTGTGAATTACAAACAGGATGTAGCCCCGCTCCAAATGACGATAACAGCTCCCGGGCAGTGCACAGCTGCACACTGTGCACAGGTCAATATCTAGTGCACATGTACTTGCACAAATAAACATGGCACGGCGGCGAGGCAAGTTTATAACTGAAAGCAACGATGCACGAAATTCTTGAAAAACGCTGTCGTGTTTATGATGTAATTAACCAATCGAAACTTAACCGGCAGGTTTATAAGCGATTAGTCATCAGCAACATAAGGTCACCGGGGGTCTGTAAGTGATGTCTAGAAGAGATGCAGTGTAGTTGAGAACCCCGCATTGCCTATCCAAGGGATGCATTGAGTCATTGACCACATAAGGGATCTAGCAGATACTGAATCACTGCATAGTTCATAGGGCAGCCAGAGGTGCGGCCTAAGACACGGGACATCTCAGTGGCCAAATACGGTCTCCCCGATGCGAGATGATGAGTGTGTCAGAGATGTATCAGCTCAGAAGACAGGTTACTATGGCAACTGAACACCAGCCCACTGCGTCCACAAAGCATCCACTGACACAGCAAACGAACATAATAGCTAAAAGTCTTATCAAACCCAGACAGAAATAGCAAATATAAATGTTATAAATCAATTCCGATTGTGGATTCTTCTGACAAGCTAAAATGTAAAAGCACGATGACAGCAATATCTATCCAATATAACGGGCATACCAGAACAATTCCTAGCTTTTTTGCACAATATAAATACGCAGCTGTAAACAGCCAATAAGAGGTGAGCCGATATCCACGTCGATATGGATTAGTAGATCGGTTATCAATAGGGCTAATATTGGTACTATTTCCAGTCTCATATGCTTATGGAGTTTCAAGCCGATTATACTTTTATAGCAGGCACTCAATCAAGCATAACAACGCCCGGAATAAATCTGCACACGATCCACTAGATACCACATTGAATACAAATCGCACAATACCGGCAATTGTGAAATCTGTGCACACCCCACCCCACCCCAGCCGGCCCATTTGTGTTAAAAACACACCCGGGGCGCATTGCGTAGCACTCTGCAGCACTGCCTGGCTCAGAGCCAACAGCGAATATCATCGGGAGAATATTGCAATAGCTTGCTCTGATGAAACCCAGCTAATGAGTTTTACACCGACCCGTCGGGATGGTGGGAAGAAGCGACCGGGACTAAGTTCGTTACCGAGTCGTCCTGTAAGGAAAATCAGTCGCGGGATTGGAGATATTCGGTCATATGCATGCAAGAGCCAGGTCGACCAGAAGATATTCTCTACATCACCGTGCCTGACGTTACGACGAACATTTCCGTCGAGTTTCTGAAGGGATAAAAAACGCATAAGAAAAAAAACTCATCCAAGACAGCTTCCTTTTCCACGGAGCATCGCATTCATAGTTATCGTCTGATCCATGGAACATTGTGGGAAATTCTGATGGTCAAGTTTTAGTAAAACTGCGGCACTTCTAAGTCAAGCCCGAAAACAGATCAGAGAGGCATAGCACTTAGCAGTTTCCTAAGACACTATTATAAGAGGAATAATAGACCAGAGCCTTCTCATCACCCAGGACATCTGTCCCAGAACTCACTTATGAACAGCAGCTATCAGCGCTCGCAGCTGGACAGACTGCAACATATCAAACGGCTTGCAAGGTTAGAAACGGCGTCCGGACGCCGGGCGAATGACGAGAGAGAGGAAAACAGGAAACGACGGGGGGGGGAGAGAGAGAGAGAGAGAGAGAGAGAGAGAGAGAGAGAGAGAGAGAGAGAGAGAGAGAGAGAGAGAGAGAGAGAGAGAGAGAGAGAGAGAGAGCGAGCAGCGAAGAGCGAGGAGAAGGTCAGAAGAGAATAAGATAGAGAGCGGAGAGCGATACGGGAGAGCAGCACCGACAGTATAGAGCAAGAGGGACGACAAGAGGACAACACAGTCCATCCATCCCCCGTACACCACAGGACATACTACAAACGGCTACTCCGCTCATCCACGACAGCACGCTGTCCGCTTCCAACTCTGAAACAATAGCTCTGCTCTCCATCTGACAGCCTGTGTGCAGTACGATTCCACGCGCCTTGGCCTGTAGCCGGTGAATCAGCCGGCAGTCTGCCTCCTGCTGCCTGGCGGTGACGCCTGCCGGGCCACGGTACCCAGTCTGGTAACGGCTGGAGCCCCTGGCACGGAGCCAGGCGGGCATATGGCCCTCTCTCCCCGTCACTCTCCCTCCCTCTCCCCTCGTTTCAGCCGTGTCCGTCCTGCCGCGACTCTGTCAGTCCGGAGGGACAAGGTCGGTGACTCGTCGCACTTCTCCACACGTGCGCACACCCACTCGTCGTGCCGGCGCCGAGACGCACGCGCCGCGCCGCGCCGGGCTAAGCCGATCTGCGCCACCTTTCGTCACTGAGAGCGGTCGTGCGGCGCACCTCGCCGCACCAGCGTCACTCATCGCGGCGCCTTTAGTGATCGGCGTGACAGCGGAGATGGCTGCAGCAGACGGCTCAAAGTGAGACACCCCTGCTGCGAGAGCGAGTTGGGACAGTCGGGAGCAACGACTGAAGCAGCCGCGACTCAAGCAGCAGGAGCAGAGACTAGATAGCAGCTGCTCTGCTAGCATAGCAGATGGAGTAATAGTCGCTGCGACTAGAATGGCCACGACTAGAGCAGTCATGACTACAATAGCCCCAAATAAAGTAGCTCGCAACAAGACAGACAATCAGCAGCCGCAATAGCAGCAGCCGCAGTGAAGCAATGGTAAAGGTGCGCCCAGTGCACCATACCGCTCCCATGTCCAACATCCTGAACCCACCACTCCCTTCTGCTCCGGGCCAGACTGTCTCCCGAGCCCACAGGATCACACACAGACCGTTGTCACGAGACGGACAGAGGAGGGGCAGATTGGAGCCAGATGGGGAACAGAGGAGAGGGAGGGGCGCCATATGACGAGGGCTGAGAGGCGGAGGGGTGAGAAGAGCGACGGATACCAGAATTGACGGGTGAGAAACGGTGAGAAAAGAGGAAGGAAGGGGGAGAGGACGGAGAGAGAGAGAGCGGAGAGAGAGAGGGAGAGAGAGAGAGAGAGAGAGAGAGAGAGAGAGAGAGAGAGAGAGAGAGAGAGAGAGAGAGAGAGAGAGAGAGAGAGAGAGAGTCCACCCCACCACCCAGCGAACAGAATGGAAGACAAGAATAGCCCGTAGGCGCCGTCCGGACCCCCACCGACAGAGCTCCCGTTGTTTGTCGACCATTGGTGCTGAACGGCTGTTAACAACACAGACTGTTCGCCGCAGTAACACATGTAAAAAACGTCGCAACCGGTAACTGAAATTAACGGTGATTGACTACGCAATTGCACAAAAACGAGCCCACCAAACCCTTCCTGCTTCGAGCCAGTGTTCGACCCAGTTTTAGAGCAGAAATACAACTCTCCTCGGTTGAAGAACCCCTTGCTCCACCCCCCCCCCCCTCCCCCGCCCCTTCCTAGTGCGTGCAGCGGTCACTTTGCAGGAGGATTATGCGAGCAACCCGCTATGGTAACGGCATTAAGTAGATACAAGCGTGCTGCGTTGGCGTACCGGTATGACTGCCTTACAGAGCAGAGGCTAGTTTTATATTAACATCGATCGATATGAGTTCACTATAGGAACAGAACTGCACTGCCAATGTAATGGGTTTGTGCCGAGCGAGGTCTGATGCTCCGGCTAATGTAGCGTGTTGATTGAACGGATGGTCCATTGACATGTCCAGTGAGTGACGTGCACATTATGTGCACAGCGCACAATGGACTGCACCTTGTCTGATTGGTATCGTGATCCTGCTAGACTTCTGGTCATGGACAATGGGTGGGGGAAGTAAACATGGAAGAGGAGACGAGGGAGAGAGAGAGAGAGAGAGAGAGAGAGAGAGAGAGAGAGAGAGAGAGAGAGAGAGAGAGAGAGAGAGAGAGAGAGAGAGACCCTATCTCACAGTCATTCAGTCAGACAGAAAGACAGACGGAAAGACAGAAAGTCAGTCAGTCAGTCAGTCAGTCAGTCAGACATACAGACATACACACACCGCCAGGCATGCACAGCAGGAGTCGCCGCCCATCCGTAATGCATTGACCCGCGCCCGAGGTCGACCCCGTGAGCATTTAACGAGCCGTCTCTACCGGCATCCGGCCGTACCGGACGACAGTCCCGGTCCGGCGGAGACCACTGCACGGTCTCAGTGGAGAATGTAGTCTCAGTGGAGAATACTGAATGTTCTCAGGGAGCACGGGCGAGAAAAGTCGACACGGGGCCGGACACAAAGATAGGGGGTTTGAGGGCGCGTGAGGGCGATTTTATGTTGAGGGAGAGTTGGTACTAACTTTCACTGACGCTCGGGAAATGTGGGACGATCGTTTGGTATTCATTCGGCGCTGGTTGATTCAGGGGGAGATATCGAGAGGGATTGAAGTTAGTTCGGAGCATCAGCTACTCCTACACACGAACTCTGGCAATCCGGGTAAAAGTGCACTTTTCTCGTCATAAATAATCGTGTCTTAAATGTCTGACAATCACATGCTCAGCCAATTTTCAATAGCTTCAATAGGCGCTTTGTCAATTGTAGCTATTTCAGAAACGTTACATAACGGACCCTTGCAAGCAGCTGCATAACAAGGCATTTCACTGTCACTTAATCGCCGAACATCATCGTATTATCATAAAATCAATACGAACCTTGCAGCTCGCGAAAATCGATGTTCAACAGCACCTCACATTCTCTGCGTAGCCGCACGCAGTAC